GGAGGAACCGGTTATGTCTCTAACAGACTATATGTCATATATTGGAGGACTGTTTAGTCTATGGTTTGGCACTAATGGCAAAGACTTTATTATTTGGTTAATAGACATCATAAACATTTGGATTTCACACAAATATATTTAATACTTTTTTAATAATAGGGTTCATGTAATACACTCTTAAAAGTAGAGTTTAAATATAAAATAACATTATATTCAATAAAACTTTCATTTATTCATAGTTTGAGAAAATATACAAATTGTGTTATAAATACAAATTCATTGATATTTAAATACAAAATAGTTTTTTGAGTTTTGTGTTTTTACCACAAAATACCGACTAATAAAAACATAAATTAAAAGCACTTTGTAAAACTACTAATATTTAAGAATTACTAAACGAGATAAACTATCAATTAATATAATTATTATAATTTTAATTTGTATTAAATTAATAGAAACACCAAAAAACATAACGATTTATTAGCGTTGATGTTGATTTGACCTACAATACCTATAATGTTAAAATTTTAACCAATCTATAACGGTTCCGACCATCATATCATTGCATGTGATATATCGTTGGAATCAGCTCAATGAGTAGATTAAGAAATTATCTTCTTGAGTTGAATTAAATAGAATTATCTTCTTTGACCATGGAGGAATATTAGCTGATCCAGATTAAGAAGTGAATTTCTTAACCTATTCATTGAGCTGATTCCAACCATATATCACATGCAATGATTCGATGGTCGGAACCGTTAATATTTTAGTATTTTAGGTATTGTAGGTCAAATCATAGAAAACCCATTATTACTACGTAAATGTGAGTATAAATGGAATATAAAAATTTCGCCAAATTGCTTTGCACTCGTTGCATTTAAAAGCTAAGTTAGGGTTGAGCTATATAAATTAAAATTTTTCCAGAAACATGGGTTTCCCCACCAATATGTTCATATACCTGATTTTACTCTGATACAACTGGAATATTAAGGTATGGAAATCGAAATTGTAGATTCTAACAAAAACTCTAAGTTGGAAACATCTAGGGAAAAATATAAATTGAGTGGTTATGTTTGTCATTAATAGTTATCCGGTAACATAATTAACATTTTGAATTGACTAAACTAAGCGAATTTAATAAAATAGCTTATTAAAATCACGGTACCCTACCTATAAAACGTGCTACGTGCATTAGTGAAACAAAACACGATGTTGTTGCTTGCACTTTTGTGCAAATGTGTCAACAACTCTTTGACGCAAAACTGGAACATAACAGTGAGTCGGGCGCTGTTGGGCTTCAACAATATGCATATGCCGTGTAACTCATCCAGGTTTGAGATGTACCGCAATATGGCGTCGAAGTTCTCTTTGTCCTGTTCGAGGCCACGCGTGTCTCCAATGCCGGGCGTATCGATTAGTCTAACGTGCTTTTTACCTTGATTAATAGACCATAAAATTTTAAAATTTGATTTTATTAGCATATAGAATAGGATTAACAATAACTGACCCCAATCTAATACATAAGCTTTTGGTTCTTGAGTAGCCGACTGTCCGGCAGCCATTACCTCATTCTTATCGTCGCCAATCTTAACTTCAACTTGCTTATAGTTTTCATCAGTAATTGTAAATTTTGACGCTATTAGACTCAGCGATTTATTCTGCTCGGCATCATCCAGTGACTTAAATGTCATATAATTAACCAGGCCATTTATCCAAGTGGACTTACCCACGCCAGTTTCGCCCAAAATCAATATATTCATTTCTTTCATTGGTCGCAATTTTTCTAATAGTTTTGCCAAATCATTATCTATTAATTTGACATGGATAAATGTTAATGTATATAAATATTGTCTTTAAAATATGTATTAAATAAAATAAAGTGTGGTATTTTGAAGTCGAATATTTTGAAATTAAAAATACTTTGAGTTTATAAACAAAATAAAAACTAAACTGTTCATGGAGATTTAGATTTTTATATCAGACTTATAAGTGTAATACAGAATGTGCATAAGTCATGTACCATGTTCATAATATAAGGGCAAACACGAAAAACGCATATTGAGTGCACCCGAAATGTATGATTCAACTTCATTCATGACCATGGTACATGATTTATGCACATTCTGTAAGTCTGATATAAAAATCAAAGTCTCAATAAACAGTTTGGTGTGCTTTTTGTTTGTGAAATCAAAATATAATATAAGTATTTTTAATTTCAAATTTATATCCGACTCTTCAAAATTAAAAACACGTTACTTTTATATTTAAATTTCAAGGCTATGAATAGTTAAAAAATTTACCTGCGAAACTTAAAAAATCACCACCGTGCTTATTATTGTTACATTTATACTGGTAAGATTTATTTGACGCTTTCCCGCATGCACAGTAAAAGTAGCCATCGAAACCATGCTCAATTAGTTCGTCGCATTTGTAACACTGCCATGTATGTTCGTCCTTTGAATCACAATAGCCTGATAATGAGCCGGGACATCGTATCTCCAAAATGACACGCTTGTTTGGCTTATGTACTACTAAATGAACCGGCTCAATTGGCTTAATCAAACACCGGTCATTATTGGTAATATAATCGAGGAATATATTCTGGTGAATATATTTGCCATTCTTAAACAGGCAAATACGTGTTCCTGATGAAACATGTTCCTGGTCATTTAGCTCGGGTCTCATATCCAAATCGGCAGCTATAAATCTGGTCATATCCTTTTTACTGTCTGTATCAAGGTCATTGTTTTGTTTAGCCAGTCGTAAAAAGTGATGCTTATTATCAGTCCAATCTCGATCCTTTGTGTCACTGGACAAACTGGTCCAGAACAAAATATAAATTTCCGATTGTAGGCGTTCCATTTTAGCCGTTTCCAGTGACTGGCCATGCCCGGGGGCGCCCACATATATAACCCCTTCGTGTTGTAACATTTTGGCGTAAGTTATTTTGTCGGCAATATCTTCGTTACTATTAATAAAGTTTTGTATTTTATTATCCGAAAGTGAGCCCTCGTTTGTGTTGCTAATGAGCTTTTCCAGTTTGTCACCGCCAGCCCTCCCGGAGCGCACCTCCACCAATAATTCGGCTAATTTTGATCTGTCGTGAATTTTTAAAATTTAAGTAAATATCTCATAACATAATACTGTATCGCTGTAATACTGTAGTTGTACATTTTGTTTTACATAAAATTTACTAAAATCTAATATTTAATATAACATTTTGAAAATTTCATGAAAATATCTGTACAAAATATTATAATTATTACCTAAGGCTGGCCTCATCCGAGTCTAATTGATCCTTTCGGGCGCCTATACCGCGCACCCGATCCGCGGGAACGCAATATTTATTGGAATTCACGAAATCATACAAATCGTAGAGTCGTTGCTTCGACGCCGCGATCCTATCAAACAGTTGGACGCAACGGACAATCGCCTGCTCGTCAATGTACTTGATCACTTTGTCGGCCGTTTTGGGCAGACTTAATCGACTGGTTAGGGTGGACAGTGGCACCAGCGTGTACTTCAATGGTTTGCCCTTGCCACCATTAGCTGTCTGAACGAGCAAGGGCATTCTTTTCATTAGTGCCAACGACTCCTCAATTGTTTGCGGCAACGGCTCGTCGGTCGGCATAATGTCGCCGAATATATGTAACGAATAATTGGTTTGTTTGCTGTCCTGACCGCTCCCGTAATCACCGCTCGCTTTTCCACTTATATTAGCGGCAAACATCTTTAACTCACTCTGGGTTGTGATAAATATTATATAAAGTTAGTATGTATTAAATATTGGCAAATTATATTTTAATATTATACTGTATTAAATATATTAATTATTAAATATTTTAAATATTATCAACCGTCATAATTATTAAAGTAAAATATGGAAAAAAGTCCTTTTAGTACCTTTCTTATTTTAATCACTTTACTTAACATTACTTTAATTACCATGCTTAACTTCTCGGTTTAGTTATTTCCCTTCCATTGGTCAGTTTAATATTTAAAAATTGCGTTTAATTAAAATCAAAATTACCTGGATGGCGCCTTCGATCTCCTTAACA